CTCTTAATTTTTAAGTGATCTCATATGAGATCACCGAAAGGTAATGGGTTAAACGTGTTCAGCAAGCCAGACAGAAAATACTTAGTCCGATTAGGCCTACTTTTCGTTCAGACTACCACAGTAGAGCAAATAAAAACTGTAAGGTGACTGGATCTTTGCATGCTACAATCTCCAAAGGATAAACAATGGTCTTTACTGCACCCTGTGTCTGGTATGTACGGAAGACGAACGGGGAGTTGGCGCGAACACACATAAATACTCACCTTGTTTTCTTTATAATTTGCAATAACAACACCGACGAATAGTGTGAGACCAATCATGCATCCAATGAACACGAAGAGGTGAATGTAAACAACATGGCTCTGAAAGGAAAAAATACAGCAACTAAGAAGCTAGAATCAAAATTTAATTCTCCATCGTTTATAATCAGAAAAGGGAAATTTTGCATGAATATTTATTAACAGTACTTCGGGGAGGCTGAAAAAGGCGATCATTTGAATTTCTGGGGTTTGATCGCCAAGCCTGCCTTGTACTGCAAGTTCAGAGGCCACGGGGCTTTTATATTATTCAGCTGTGGAAGCGGTTAATCGGGACTCGCCTCGCAAATAAAGCCGTGTCATTTTCAAAAACACTTTTGCCAGAAGCACTTTTTGCAGAAGCAGCCTGGTAAAGGTAGTTTAAGTAGTGCATTTCATATACCCCTATTCTCAGCATTTTGTCCTACGGAAACGGTGGTTATAGGGGTTTTGGGCGTGGACAAATAGGATAGGCAATGAGGGAAATTTTTAGAAGTAAGTGTAAAGTAAAAAAAAATGTAGTTGAATTTGTTTCCCACGGCCGCTAGGAGTAAGTTGCTCCGCATGTAAATTGAAGGTTTTCGCGGAGCTTCGCGCCGCGGACTATACTAATCTAACTTCAGAGTGGTAAGTTGACATCAAATAAGTTGAAGTAGAGGGCTTCCTAACCACAATTTCAAATTTTTCAGGAATTTCACGAAACCAGCACTTTGATAATCGGGTTTTCCGTAATACGTTAAATGATAATACAAATTAGGAAAATCTGCAGATATAAATCAACAACGTTTCCAAATACAGTAAACCAAAACTGCATATAGCAGTTAATACATTACATTCCACTGCCTATCCTATGTCCCTACCCATAAAACCCCTATAACCACCGTTTCTATGGGACGAAATGCTGGGACTAGGGGTTTATGAGGTGCACTATTTAAACTACTGTTGCCGCAGCCTGAAAAGCCTCCATAAAGATCTAGATCCAGAAAGGGTTTTCATTCTGTTTATGTTCATGCGTGGGCATATCTATGCAGGAAGTCGTATTCACAAAGACAGAGGAGAGAGGGGAGGTCAGTTCTGGTCGTTGACTACGATTAAGCCATCCCAGTTGTCGATGCTCCTAACTAACTATCTAATTGCTGATACTGCTAGTAACTACAATGTTTCTTTATTGATCTACAAATTGCAACAGGATAATCACATTCATTAAGGCTATCGGCGAACGTCCTTCCTAACCAAATATATTTATACAATGGTAGATAGATCCTCACTGTTCGGTAACGGAACTCGCTTGTCACACTGTTTCTTTGAGCTCGCTCTGGAGTCCCGCCGGCAGCCGCTCAATGGCTAGTATGTACTATAGGCAGACATATATTACCGACAAGGAGAAGGGAGACTTGAATGACCATTCTTGGCTTATTGACCGTGATGCCACCAAATGCGTACAAGAAAAGATTATTTTTTTTGCATTTTTCGCCAAAAT